GACTCCTTCGTCCTGTGTGCAGCCAGCCAGTCGGACGGCGACCAGACGGACGACGAGGAAGATTTTTGTGCCCCCACGCAGATGGATGCCGCCTCCGCAACTCCCAAGGTCCACCCGGTCGACCTGAAACGGTCAACCCCGGTGTCCGTGAACGAGACTCCGCCGCTGTCTCCCAAAAGCGCCATCGAGGAGACACCTCCCTCCTCGCCATCCATTGTCCCGGAGAGCGACCCGGAGGATGCGGACGACAGCATGGTTACGGCGCGGCACTCCCTGTCACTCCTGGAGAGCACTGGCACGTCGCTTTTCCAGGACTGCGAGGAGTACGGGGACAGTGAAGTCATCTTGCCTGTTGTCGGGAGGAGTGACAAGAGGAGGGCACTTCTCAGCAGTCTCAAGAGGAGCGGTGGCAAGCTTGTCAAGGAACACTTAAGAACGACCCATAGGGAGGCGTCGCAGTTAAAGGCGTTGGAGGAAGAATCGGATTCGGTGGACGGCAACTTGGTAGGCGAACAGCGTTCGAAGCAATCTGGAGCTGCAAAGAAGCTGGAGTATGCTGGCAGTACCTCCAGTGCTCTTGCAATCCCCGAAGAAGAGTCCACACTGGGAGATGTGTCTCGGTGCAAGTCGGCGTCGGAAGGAGCTTCTTTTAGCGTACCTGGGGTGGCACCGCTTCAGCTATCTTCACTGGTTTCGCTGAACGAGGAGACGGCGGAGAGCAACGATGTGGTGCTTGACTCGACTTTTACTGTTGGAGGCTCAAATGCAACCGCCGATTCCAGTGTTCACTCGGCAGTGGCGGAAGACCATCGTGAAACAGCGGAAGGTGCAGTTGAAGAAGCTGGGTTTCAGGAAGCCGACAACAGATTGAGGGAAAGTTCTGGACCCACAGAGTTGCCGAACCAATCCGTAGATCAGACACGGGAGAAACATGAAAGTGTCTTAGACGAGGAAGAGATGCAAGTTTCCGATGTGGAGGACGTCGAAGACACAAAGGGAGTTTCCAGCGGTGTGGAGGCTGAGCCAGCAGAGCCATTGCGGTTGTCTGAAGAAGCAGATGTCAATGGGAGCACACTCTCCGAGGTGGCCGTCAAAGACGCGGAATCGGAACAGGAACCGAAAGTGCCTTCTTTGGAAGCGACTGAAGATGTGTTAGAGTCCAACCTGGAGCACGAAAATCAAACTGAGGCAACTCCACTGCCTTTTAAACTTCCAAAGTCTCCAAGCAGAACGAAAAACGCAGACAGTGAGGCTGCCGACAAAGTTTCAAAGATGACCAAAAAGGGCAGTGAGAAGAAAGTTTTGTTCAAGAAGACCGAGACGACCAAAGAAGTGACCTTAAACTTGGACGTGGTGCAACCTCCAACCAGGAGCCGAAGATCAAATGCCGGAGCCAGGATGAAGGAGTTTCTTTCCATCGAGAAGAGAACGGGAGCTTCGGGAAATTTCAGAGAGGACTTAGCGTCCCAAGAGGCCAACAAGAAGGAAGCGCCACCCGCGTCTAAAGAGCAGTCAAACGTGGAAGGCAGGACATCTAAACCACAGAAACGTGGTCGAAAAAGCACCAAGGAGCAGATGGATGAAAGCAATGAAGGCCAAAAGCTCCCTTCGTTGCCTCAACCAACAGAGGAATTGCAACTCCAACCATTGGTAAGTGCAGCGCCTGAAAGTTTCAGTGCTGCCAACCCTGCAGTTGAGGGCAAGAAGACTTACCAGCCGTTCTCAAGAGGAATATGGGACAGTCAGTTTCAAAGCACTCCTTACACGAGCGGCACCATAGATAGTTGCCTCTCGCAGGCATTCCCCACCTTCTCTCAACTCATGGTTGGAGCCGGTGACGATTGCAGAGCTGCCGACGAAGTGGATGAAGCGGCTGCCACTGACATGGATGAGCGGAAGAAGCCTCCGCAGCAGAAGGCAAAAGCGTCAAATGTGAGCATGGTTGTTGCCGATTTAGATCCAAAAGAGGTTCACCCAAAAACCATTGGAAGCACTCTAGGCTTTAGCGGGAAGATGAGCGAGGCTTCAAGTCGATCGGACACAGGTCCTGACAGATCAAAGAACTCTTTGGAGGCTGCAGTTGTGCAAGTGATGGATGCAAAGGCTGGTCATTCAATGCAAAGAGCCATGAGCCAGGACTTGGAACGTGAAGGGCCTCAGGACTTAGCAGTCTCAGAACCGCTCTTGGAAGATGCTGGCTGTGTGCCAGACTCTGATGAAACTCAAGATCTCGATGCCTTGATTCCAGCAGAATCGACTCGTCCCAAATGGGCCACAAGAAAGAGCACTCCTTTCGTGCCGTCCGGACTTGCGAATAAGCCCAATCGCAAGGTCAAACTTGAATCGGCGGAAGACGCTGGAGGCAGTGGGGACGAGTTCCAGGACGACTCGCAGACGAAGAAGGTAAGCGCTGCAAAGCAAGTCGTCGCCGCGTCGAGATTATCTCGGAACACCGTGAAATCTGCGCCATTGGCGACCACGAGCACGGTACAAGACAAGCAGCCTTGTACACCCATTAAGGAAGCACTTCCGGCCAGGCGACGAACACGGAAACAGGTGCTGGACATCATTGTTTCAGAGTCCAACGATTTATCCGCAGTCCGTGAAGCGGGTGAAAAAGAACTAGGGGATGCCATCGACGATAAAGAAAAGTCCTCGCGGCGGTTGCAGTCGAAAAGGGCAGCTTCGGGTGACGTGGAAGGGACTCAATCTTCGCTTGCATCACACAAAGTTCCCCAGGGAAAGCGCAGGAAAACTAAGGCAGTCTCGGAGGTCCCCGACGTAACTATTCCAGAACCCAACGTTGCCGGATCTGCGACCAAGGAAGTTGAGGATCAGAAGGGTACCATTCGTGGCAAAGACGGGCGACCCAGCTCGTCACTGCCTGGAGGAATTGTCTTGCAAGTGAAGGAGGCAGCCTCAGGCGAGTCTCGAGACTCCCAACCTACTCGAAGCTGTCGAGGACGAGGAAGAGCACAAAAGGTTGTGGATACCCCCGTTTCGGATGTCGTCAGAAACGTCTCGGAAGGATTCAACGAGGCAAGTGCTGTTGACAAGGACAAGAGAGAACCGCGCTCCGCTCGTTTAAAGGGAAGAACGGTGCCAGAAGCTGCATCGAGGGGATCTCAAGGTTCCCAATCTTCTCAAAGTTCACAAGGAGATAAAAGAACACAAAAGGCTGCAAATGCTCTTTTTCTGGATGTCGCAGATGCCGGCAGAGAAGAATCGGACGAGGCAAGCGCTGTCGACGAGAAGAGAGATCCTCGCTCTTCGCTGTCAAAGGAAACAACGGCGCCGCCAGTGGAGCAAGCTCTGTTCGGGGAGTTTCGGGACTCCCAATCTTCCCAAAGTAATCGGGGAAAGCGCAAAACCGGGAAGGAGATCCGAGATACCCGTGCGTTAGACTCTGACGCCACCGATGCCGGCACAGAGGAGTCCCAGGAGGCAAGCACCGCCGAGAAGAACGAGAGGCATTCTTGCTCTTCGCGGTCGAAGCGGACGGTGCCGCAACATCCGCTGAACCAGTTGCAAGGCTCCCAATTGTCGCAGGTCACCCGGAGAAAACAGAAGGAAGCTCCACTGCCTTCCCACTGCGAAGAACCCGGAGAAAAACAAGCCAACTCACGGGGTCGAAAGAAAGGTCTGGAAAAACGGCTGGACTCGTGCGAGCCAACAGCACTTTTCACGGATTGCAATCCTAGGGTGGTGATGGTGCCTATGGAGGAAGTTGTTGGCTTTGGATATTCATCACGAAGTAAGCAGACGGCAAGGGAGACGCCGGCGGCGCCGGTGGAAGGTCTTCTTACTAAGAAGGCAGTGGAAGAGGCCTCCACGACTCGTGGACGCCGAATCAAGGAGGTTGAGTCGGTAGAATTGCCGAAGCCTGTCCTCAGGGGAGGACGGCGTAAAGTGGCTTTGGTGGATGTTGAAAAGAAGCCATCGTCGAACAATGAGGAAGCGGAAGGAGTGGAGGAGGTGGCACCACCTCCAAAACGGCGGCCGGGAAGACTAGCCAAGAATGCTGCGGTGAAGGTGGAGGCTGCTTCCCAGGTGAGTTCTCTTGTAGAATTTGCTTTTGACTACGGTAGATGTTTTGTGCCTAATTTTAAAGCAAATTTTGCCGGTGTTTGTGGCTGTAAAGGTCAGCCACGAAAAAAATTTATTTATCGGCTGCTGCAGGTTCAGCACACACAGAGGTTGACACGTGTCATTTGGTAGTCAGATGTGTAACTTGTTTTGGAACACTTCCTTTTTAGTTGGCCACCGAGAAACTTGCAGAGCTAAGTGACTGAGATAACGAGTTACTATCGAGAGGGCATGAAAGTTCATAATTCAATGTTTTTTGTATTTTTTGTGTTGTGACAAACATGCCATTTAGTTGCACTGGTGATATAATAAAGTTTCGTACCAGCTGCAATTTTGCTCTGTCACTGGTACTCGTCATGGTCACACCATATGCAAGCTTTGGTCTTTCTAGATATTCTCATGCTTTGGCAGGTTTTTTTAGAATGGGAACATTATTGTTGACAGGGAGTAACAAAAACGGCTGGGTACTTTAATTTTTTTTTATTTTTTGGGTAGGCTGTAAAACAGGAGCACTACTTCCTCCACTCCTCGGTAGTGATAGGTTGTGAGGAAGCTTAGGAAGCACACAATACTTCATATCATTTGACTGCAATAGATTGCCAAGTGTCCCATTAAAGGTGTTCTTTCATATTAAATTATAGAAATTAATTTACAAAAGCAGTTAGTAGACATATTTTGTGGGGAAAGTCAAATAGATTAAGCCCTATTTAGATAAAAGGCAAAAATTAAATTTAAATTAAGTGCAAGATTTCATATTTGGTGTACGGTACATACTCGTAAATCATATGTGTGTTTCTCATGAGGGCTAAGAGGATCAGTTCGTCCTGTAAAATTTTATCTTCTGATTTACCCTCGTAATTATATTCCCCAAAGCAAGTCTTACGATATTTTTTTCCAATGTCCCCGCTTTGAAGGAACCCAGCACGAGCAGGGGCAGAAAGAGGGAAGGTCTCGCCCAGGACCCCTCCCCTCCCGCCCGCAAAAAGGGACGAGGAGGAAGGGCTGCAGCCACAAACGTGTCGTCTCCCAAGGCGGACGTTGGAGTGGCGCCAGCTTCCAAGGGCAGAAGGAGCTCTAGTCTGAAGCCCAGGGTGATGTTCACGGGACTTGCCGACACGACCGGTGAAGAGGCAAGTCCCTTGCTTTCGTTTTGGGCGTTGGTTTCATGCTTAGGCACAAATCTGGAGTTGCGTTGAATTTCAGAGTTGGAAGAGTCGCTCGAGAGTTTGCTCCAGTTTATATAAATGTCAGCTGTATGGTTTCTCCGAGGCAAAGCGCGGGCCTACGAATCCCTATTTTGGCGGGTTTCAATTGCAGCACAGTTGCCTGCAATACGACGGAGGGTTATTGCAAAGAAGTTGTGTGGTTTTCGGTTGCATGTGAACAGGGGTGGAACGGCTGCGCCATTTGCGCCATTTTGCGCCAGAGGCATTTGTCTGCGCCATCCTGCGCCATGTTGCGGAAACTGCGCCAAAGCCAGTACCTCGCGCCATTATGCTCCAAATCTCAAAACGTGCGCAAAAAAAAATTGTATTTTGTCTTGGTTTCGGTTTCTATCGACTCGATTGGCAACAATGAGCGCGTTTAGCTTGGTCGGCCTTGCAATCCTTTGTTCTGTTTATTCTCCCTGTGTATCCCGAATCGGAAGCGCGCACACACACACACACAAAAAAAAAAAGAAACTTTGGGGTTGCATTCTAAGCGCTACACCACCTGCGACTGGATCGTTATTCTTCAACCATAAGCGGGGTCGAGTAGTAAAGCGTCAGATTGTCTGAGGCTCTGAGGCCCGGGATCCGCACGTCAGCCAGTTGAAAACAAATGAGCAAAATATGCGTTTAGTACTTCATCGTTAGAAGTTAGAACCACATTCCCGCAAGATAAATCGTGATTTTCTAGAACTGAAACGCGGTCCGATCCGAAACCTTGTCGACCAGCAGCTCTCACGCGAGCGATAGATCTGCTCGGCGTACTTTAACCTTGCTCCTGCTTATCGCCTCAAATACGATAACTCCGTTAATCGTAGTCTGCCGTCTGGATATTGAGTTGCACAATAGGATAAACTTGAAATTGGTTGCACTGTTCCTCCGCGCAACTACTCGTTTGTTGCTTAAACACGTCACATGGTTCACACATATAGAATTACTATGTCGAACACGTGTGGGTTGTGCGATAGGCAGTGCTGGTTTGCATTTTGAGCAGCTGAAAGCCACTCAGAAAATACTAAGGACACTATATATATATATCTTCAGAAACATGGTACTTGCTTTTTGGTTCTCATTAAGACTCACAAAGTTTCGAGTTTTCGAATTTTTTACACTGTTATGCCTTCCACCTAGATCCCTAACCACTCATGTTAATCTGCGCTGCAAAGCATAATTGAAATTGCTCCTGTGATTGTCTAAGACAGAACCTGAAGTCTGCAATAAAAACTGATTTGAGCTGCTCCTAGCCTGCTCCAGAATGTAGTTTTAGCTGCTCCCAAGCTGCTCCAAAACAACTGTTTCAGCTGCTCCCGTGGCTGCTCCCAAGTACATTTCATGAGTTCCACCCCTGGTGAAAAGAGCCATAGGTGGTCGAAATTGATCCCCAGTTCTCCGCCGGGATGTCACTTTCTTGATTTGGCTTGTAGAACTCCCAAATTTGACCTCGTCAATGTAAACAGTTCTTAGGTATGTTCCTTGGCGATTCGTTCCGGCCTGTCGTCTTTTTACCGGTGCTCGTCTCCACTTTGTTGCGTGTGTGTTTCATGCAGGGTGATGCTATACAAATATTCCATAATGATTTGTGCTTCAAGCCACACATGAACCTGTGAAAAGAAGTTCATAGGCATGTGAGGAAAGACAGCTGGGTGGTCAGTGTCTAACAAGCAACCGTGAAACTTTTTTTTGGTTTTGCTATATGATTTTTGGGTTTAATCGCCGATGTTCCATCACACGACATACACGCATTCATTTTCAGGCTCTCGCACTAATTGGTACCAAAAACACAAGAAAAAGAAAGAAAATGATGCCGAAATTGCTGTTGTCGCTAGGCTGATTCTCGACGAAAGAAGTCTGCATTTAGCTCTGGGGTTTTGACTCAGCGAAGGATGGGAATTCCAGCCTCCCAACGGTCTGCACACTGCTGTATTCGGAAAGCCAGTCTGTTCCCCGAGGCATCGACAGTTTCGGATACAGTCACCACAGCTTCCTCCCGCTCCCGCAGCGTATCATGATAAGCATGCCTGAAGACTCTTTCACTCTTTTAAGAGGGAAAGAGCATAACAACATGGGGCATAACGAGCGAACAAACGAAGCAAAAGATAGGAACCGCGCAGTGCGGTGCGGCTTCACAAAATCAGTCCAGTCCAAACCAAACCACAACTGCTCAAATGAAAGACTACTGAATGCACCAGAACAATAAATGCCAACGGATTTAGAATTGAGAAGCGCCAACCTCCTCAAGTTGCACTCAGGATAAGCTGTCGGGTGTTCTTTGTCTGTTTCGGGCCACTAGTCTTAAACGTAGTCACATGCCTGGTTGGCAGGTCAGAGTTTATGCTCTGCTCCAGACATCAAAAAAATTTGGCGATTTCTGTCGCCACACTAATTAGCCAGGTACGCAAGCCCAAATATTTGCCAGTGGAGTGATTGGTTACCCGGTGCGAGCCAACCGATCATGCATGCTCGTGCCACGTCCTTGAGCCGTTTTTTGTTGTGATGCGTCGGCGCTCTTAGGTACTGGGTGCACGTTACGAGAGGGTGCCAGCCATTTCTGAAGAGAAACAAAAACACACTTCGCTCTCACTTCGTAGGTCTGAAACAGAAGTCACATTTCTGGTTCCTTTCCCAGCATGCTAGATCTCTTGTGTCCCACTGTGCATTGTGTGTTTAGAAAGATTTTAACCAAATATTGTTTCATGGTCCCTTTAACACACGCTTCTCCCATAAGCATCAAGGGCCTCATATTTGTATGGCAGTCACTGCAGGACCTGAGCTGCTCTGCAAAAAAAATTTGCAAAAGAAAAGAAAAACAGAATTGTATTTTTCGCCCAATGTGCAAAGAAGCGAAAGCAATAGCTGTAGCAAGGTCACGCAATGCGGGTGGAATGGTGCCGTCACTTACCTGAGGACGGACATGCGACATGGTTAATTCTCATAGCCGTCGGGGTGTGCATCGTGGATGTCACTGCTGTACATCGTGGATGTCACGTCGAGGCCATCCCCTCGACGTCAGCTTCGCCGTAGCTTTGCTCGTCCTGAGACGACCTACGTCACGATTGCGTTGGATGTCACGTGGTCTCCGCTGGGCCTTCTACGAGCGCTTGCCTGAGTGGGCCGTTTATAATGAAAAATACAGCCACCAGGCTCAAAATACAAACGTGCGTTTGTCATTTACGGATATTGTGGATCATATTCAACCTATTTTTGAACACGACGGGAATATTTCAAATTTTGTTGAAGCATCCCTTTAAGAGATAAGAGTTTGCCGCTAGTTCAATATTTTGTTTTGTGTTGCCACTAAAGAATATGTTGGAATCATCAGCGCACATGATTACATCCTGGGAGTCTGATATTCTGGTCTGATCATTTATATATATTGAAAACAATAAGGGGCCCAGGATTGATCCCTGGGGAACACCAGGACCATGAAATGACCATTTTACTTTTTCCAGATAACTTTTAGATTAAACTGTCAATGTTCACTGAATGCCGAACAGGCATCCGTTTTCGTCTCGGTTTATTAACTTTTACACAAAAAATTATTGAAATATCGACTTTTTCATTCTCTCCAACTGACCGCAAAAGAAGCCGTGACGTAGACTGTTTCCGGAACCGGAAGTTCTCTCGGCAGTAGGAGAATGGGAGTGTTAGCGGCAACGAGTTGGGGTGCGCCGGTAGGTTTTACTGCGCTGATGTTACCGACGTATTGCCTGAATCGGCGCCTCTCATCGCCGCATCGCAGCTGAGCGAAATTCAATGAGATGTCGCGCCACAGCGACAGCATGGGACTAGTCCCATACGCCGGTATGCCTGTTGGGAAGTGCAGCGAGTCTTCCGGTGAGGACTCCACAAGTCAACCACCTTGTCATTGTTGGCAGAAGGGCCGGCCCGTGTCAGTCGTTATCAAAGCGACGTAGATGGCGTTTTTCGCGGCCTTGGAGATGCAGGAGCGAGCCGACGTTAAAAAAAGATACGTTTGAACTACGAGTGTCAGCAAGAGCCACGTAAATACCTGTTTACACTCGGAGCGGACGCGCGCGCTTGATGGAAGTCTTGTATTCGCGCTGTTGGTAAGCGCTTCGGGACCGTTCTTTTACGATTGCAACTCGATACTGACGCGACACTCGGCAAAGAAAGGTTGGACCGGGGTTGTACGTATACCTCCCACGAACTGTTATAGCTCGACAGTGACGTGCAGTCTGTCAGAATAAAAATGGCATACCAATAACAATGTGTACATACCGTGTTACCAAGGTAATCCATACGGCGTTTATTTCAGCTCTATATCACACAAAACAAGAAGATAGAATCGACGAGAGTCCTTTTCGACGAGTGTTCGTCAACACTGCCTCGGAAAACAAGGGGAAGAGATTGACCTCACCTCTTAATCTAGAATTGAGGTCAGCGATCAAACTATAATACGGGAAGGGTCCACAAGGGTCGCGCGGGCATATTCCATTTAGCACGCCAGCCGGTCGTAGGCAGACGGTCTTGCGACGAAGCAACGCATCGCCGAGTCGGAATGCCTGCTAGGCCTATATTCTGAGCAGCTCGCTTCGTCGGAGTCAATGGATCCAGCGTTCTTGTTCGTCGTGGTCTGTTTTAAGTACTGTTTTCTTGCTGCTTGAAGTCGGCACGCGCGGGAAGAACACATAGAAAAATAAACATTCAGTCAGTCAGAGTTTTGAGAGGAAGGAAAACAAAGAAAATAAACGCTCGTCGGTCGCCGCCACCCAAGTAACTGTCGGCCCTGCCCTACTGCGCACGCGCAGTAGTTGCTTCGTTTACCACACGATAGATGGCGCTTGGCTCTCAGCATTATCAAATTTGGCAATTTTCGCCACACATCTCTAATTATGCTACAAAATGTGGATCTGAATATTATTTAACAAAACTTTTAGGAAACATTCGCCGGCTATTTATTGTTTACGATCGCGGTGCTGGTGAGGTAGGCTCTTACCCAATAGGCGACCTGGATTTGGCTGACGTGCTCCATTTCCGCGGATGCATCGTAGTGAACAGGCGAAGGAAGGAAGGCGCAAAAGAGTCCAGTTTTCTTTTAAAAGTTCTATAGCAAATAATTTTTTTTGGCTCCCTATTTTTGTGTTTTTGTGTTTCTTTTCACACCTTTTACGACGTGCGGTGGATGAAACTCGATTTTAAAATCATTTCATGGTCCCTTTAAGCATGAAGAAGCTATTTGATTGATAGTTGCATACTAATACCGTTTGGTAAAATACCTTCTTACTCATTTTTGTGCGATTCTGCATATGCCGGATTTATCAAGTTTCTGTAATATTTCGTGTTGCACAGTATCAAATGTTTTTTTTCAAATCCGAAAAAATCCCGAGAATAATTTACTTTCAGTGTTTGCAGTTATTTGTCTTTAATGTCTAGAAGAGCTTGCTCCATAGACTTTGGTTTTTGAAAGCCATATTGAGAAGACATTATGACTGTATTTATTGAAAATACATTCCAGCCTTTTTATGCTTTATAATAATTTCAAAAATTTCACAAAATACCGGTAAAACAGAAATCGGCCTATACCGTAGAATACCGCGCATCCACCCATTCCACATTAAGCACCCATATCCAAATTTCTAAGGTATGAAAAAATATGCACAGTACATTTATATGTAAAATTGATGACCGGGCAAGTGCCCATCCCCCATTTTTTTTGCGATTATGTGTAAAGTTTGAGTGGGCGCTTGTCCGGTATTTTACGGTAATTGTTCTTTTTTTTTTTTCACCCCCTCCTTTATACACAGGATGAACTCAGGCTATTTTATGTTTATTTTGAAAAATTTCCATTTTATTTACAGTGATGTGATTGCTGCGCCAATTGCGCCAAACTGCACCAATGGGCTAACCTTGCTACATCCTGCTACATTTCACCGAAATACGGCTAATCTGCGCCAAGCCTGCGCCAAAGAAGCAATTTTGGTCGCCTTTCAGAAACGAAACTAAACTGAGAACCGTAATTGAGTATGCGTAAGCTAGGTCGCACAAGACGCCACCCGACACAAAGTACCCTGTATCAATCGTCTATTTGGCCTTGCATGATTTTTCCCGAAGTCTCGCGTTTCGTGCACTCGTCGTCTCAGGAATCTCGTCTCGCGTTTTATTTATTTATTTTTTTTTTATTTTATTTTTTTTAGCGGTATACGCGGGCGTGTGCGGACTCTCGGACGTTAGTGTATCGGGTGCCAAACATGCCGTCATGCTGTGAAACAAAACCACGTTTTTGCGCGGCGGGAGTTACTTTTTGGGCTGAAGTGCTAGCGCGACGTCGTGTGTTGCCGTCCCCACGTCGCTGCAGATATGGCGCTTTCTAAACTGAAACGCATCGACATTCCTGCTCTTGTTTAAATCATACGCTGCTATAAAAATCCCTCTTAACTCAATGACTGCTTGGCGAAGTTTTGATTACTTAGGTTTTTCCTGGTGGGCTTTCTTTCGAGAGGGACCCCGGTACATGAAAAATCTGCCGCGAAAGAAAGTTGGTGAAGAGAAGTGAGCTAAAGCAAAGAAGGCAATGTCTGCACGCTGAACCCGCACAGCGTGTTTGTTTGTCTCGAGTTCAGTCGTTGCACGAAGCGCTCCAAGAACTTTTTTGACCCTGATTCGCAGTGTCTTGCATCGATACGCTCAGGTTCTTTTTTTCTGTGTGTTTAGCCTGTACCTCGCCTGCCGGCCTGGCAAGCACGCACCGCTGGACTGTTTATTGTCGTATGCTGGACAGTTACATTTTGCATACTATTTTGGGAACCATGCAGTTGGCGACGGAGCGCGGAGTGGCATGGTTTCGGTTTCGGTCGAACAGCCGTTGTCTCCACCCGCGCGACGAAGCACGTGTAACTGCAAGCCTGCCGAAGTTGCCCTTACGTGCATGTGAACATGATTGCAACAGAGGCACCAGCCGGGACGCTAGCAATGCGTTGTTTTACGTTTGCTTACCTTTTTTTATAAAAATCTGCCACGTCAAGAATTAGTAAAACGATAGCAATTTTTTTTTTTTTTACGGAATTGCTTGGCAATTTTGCCTACAGCACCGTGTACTTGTGGGATGTCTCAGCAGCAAAAACACAAGCAGCGAGTTCCGCCCCAACGCGTCGCATCACGACACAACACAAAGTGCCCTTGGTTTGTCCAGAACTTAAAACGAATATTCAATTTTCTAAGAATATATGCTCCAAAACTCAGTTTTTCTGCTCCGAAACACTGTTTTGGCTGCTCCAAAAGCCACTTTTGCTGCTCTAAGAAACTGTCTTGGCTGCTCCAAAGGCCACATTTGCTGCTCCAAAACACTGTTTTGGTTGCTCCAAAAGGTGCTCCAAAATGGCTTAGGCCAATCGCATCACTGTATTTACTGAGTTAGAAAGAACCAAACTTATTAAAGGAGCCCTATATTTAATAAGCTGGGGCTTCATTTCATGTTCACCGGCTGCCATGTCGTTTTTAAAATTTTTTATAATTTCATGAATTTCTGGTGGTGACACCGGGACCAACATTATAGGACCCATAATGCCTTCTATACAGATGTTCTTGCCACTTTGGTGTACGTGTTATAATGGGTACTTGCCCCTATCAGTGATGTGATTGCTGTGCCAATTGTGCCAAACCGGGCCAAGTGGCTACCCTGCTACATTTTGCCAAAAAATGGGTGATCTGCGCCAAGCCTGCACCAAAAAAACAATTTCAGTCGCCTTTCAAAACCGAAACTAAACTGAGTACCGTAATTAAGCATGCGTGTGTTACGTGGTGCAAGCGGCCGCCTGATGACAGTGTACCCTGCATCAATCGTCCATCCGGTCTTGCATGGTTTTCCCGCCGTCTTTTGTTTCGCGCTCTCATCGTCTCGCCTCGCGTTTTCTTTTTTTTTTTTATATTTTCAACGATAGACGCGGGTGTGTGCAGACGCTCTGACGCTAGCGTGCTGGGTACCAGCCATGCCGTCATGCTGTGAAACGAAACCACATGTTTTGTGCGGCGGGAGTTATTTTGTGAGCTGAAGCACTCGCTCCTGAAAGCAGTGGTCGTGGAAAAACTATACTTAGGTTTCTCTCGGTGAGCTTTCTTTCAACAAGGACCCCGGTGCGTGAAAAATTTGCCGCAGAAGAAAGTTGGTGAAGAGAAGTAAGCTAAAACAAAGAAGGCAATGTCTGCACACTGAATCTGCACAGTGCGCTTGTTTGTCTCGAATTCAGTCATTGCACAAAGTGCTCCAAGAACTTTTTGACCCTGGCCCGCAAAGTCTTGCATCGATGCGCTCGAGTTCTTTTTTGTGTGTTAAGCTTGTACCTTGTTTTCCAACCTGGCAAGCACGCGCCACTGGACTGTTTTTTGTTGTATGCTCGACAGTAGCATTTTGCATACAGTTTTCGTAATCAGTTGGTGAGGAAGTGGAGTGGCATGGTTTAGGTTTCGATCGAACAGCTGTTGTCTCTGCTTGTGCGACGAAGCACGCACAACAGCAAGCCTCCCGAAGTTACCCTCACATGCATGCGGACGTGATTGCATGATACAGGCACTAGCCGGGACACTTGCAATTTATAGTTTTACATTTGCTTACGTTTGACGAAAATCTGGCATGTCGGGAACCAGTAAAAAGGTTGGCAAGCGGTTTTTCGGAATTGCTCGGCAACTCCTACAGCACTGTACACTTCTGGGATGACTCAGCAGTAAAAACACAAGTAGTGACTTCCATCGCAACACATTACATCAGAACACAACACAACGTGCCCTTTGTTTTGTACAGCACTTAAAACAAATATTTTTGTTTTTCTAAGAATATCTGCTTCAAAAGCCACCTTTGCTGCTCCGAAACACTGTCTTGGCTGCTGCAAAACCCACTTTTGCTGCTCCAAAACACTGTTTTGGTTGCGTCAAAGGCGACATTTGCTGATCCAAAACGCTGTTTTGGCTGCTCCCGCAGGTGCTCCAAAATGGCCTAGGCCAGTCACATCACCGCCATATCAGTGAAGTGCTGATTCACCATATCTGGCTTCTTTCCCTGTTATAATCTTATCTTCCAACAAAAATTCTTGGACAAGGCTGTCTTTTTTTCTTTCCACTTGACATTTATCCTTTCCCATATCTTTATCTTGTCAATATATATACTCCAAATTTACTCAGATAATGGATACTCTTCGCTTTTTTTTTTACTCTTAGTTCAATTTGTTTCTTTTCTTTTTGAATTCATGAAGCAGGTTTATATCTAGACTGGATGAGCAATGTGCCAAGCCTGAATCGACCGGGACATGAGCACCTAAAATGACATTTGCTCAAAATGTGGGAAGGCACATAGCCACACTGTGTAATGAATGCAACCCCCAAATTTGCATTAATAAAATAAAATGTGTTCATCATGCGAGTAAGCATGGTATTTGCATCATTGCTCACAAGGTCTATGAGCTTCTACACTGCTCTGTTGCATCAGTGTCAACTCTGGGACGGGTTCCTGAGCTTCCATTCAAGGCAAACGGGAATTCCTCGAGACTAAAATGTCTGAGAACCCCCGCACTAGTATACTCCAACTGAGAATGTTCAATAGGTAAAGGAAACTCTCGTGGAATTTAATGTTCTAACCTTGCTCAAATCTCGCAGATTGTGAAGAGCCTGGGTGGACTCGTGGCTGCCTCCCCTTCTATGTGCACGCATCTTGTTACGGACAAGGTACTTGATTATCTTTTGCATGCCTCCTCAGTGGTCCTGCCTGCTTCAATGGAGCTCTGGTCTATGCTTCAACGCTTTTTAGTCATTTACGAAACCTAAGTCTTCATTTGGATCCTGTGAAAGGCAGTATATTGCCTTTGAATTATTTTCTAATTGTTTACTCATTTTTTGAGTACTCGTGAGTGGCACTTCAAACTAAAGTGCCTTCATTGTGTAAGCACTCTTCAGTGATACAGAACGATTTCTTAAGTAGAGCTTCAAGGAAGTAGTCAGGGCTGTTCCAGATAAGTTCCAGTTATCAGAAGACAAGAAAACAATGTTGAAGATGGAAGGAATCGATCTAGGGAGTTCCACTTTTCGAAGATTCCACTGTACCTGTGCCACGCCTCTGTTCGTCAGTTGAAGCCAAACACCTGCCTTTCTCCGCAAATGTTTGTAAGCCCTTAAACCGCTTGATCACAAGAGTTTTGCAAAGGATTGTACCGCTAGGACTATGCCACTAGGACTGTGCCACTAGGACCCTACCGCGAGGACTCTACCACGAGGACTCTGCCACTAGGGCTGTGCCATTGGGACTTTACCGCTAGCTCTCTACCGCTAGCTCTCTACCGCTAGCTCTCTACCGCTAGCACTCTACCGCTAGCACTCTACCGCTAGCACTCCACCGCTAGCACTCTACCGCTAAGGGGGGGGGGGGGGGGGGGTTCTTGAGATCTGAGAGCTAGAGGACCATTGTGTCTAATCTTTCTAGACACTGGTGGTGACCTTGATAATAGTTGTATGACTAGTTCCGGTGTTGTTTTCGTGCCAGTTCCGGAGGACCGTGAAGGCCCTCTCCTGCATCGCCAAGGGCATCCCGATTCTCAGCATGGCCTGGTTGGACAGCTGCAGGGCGTCGGGCTCCTTTATCGGTGAGCGCACCCCCCGTGTTGCAGAAAGTGAACCAAGATGCGAGCAGGGTTCTGGGTTTTCCAGCGTATGCCGACGAACCTTGACAAGTACCCGAGCCGGTTTTAAGAAAATTGTGGAAAGTTAAAATCCCCGAATTCGATCTGGAATACGAAAAAAAACAAAGCATCATGGGGAGATGTCTTTTGTCTATAGCTTAATTTGTAAACACAGTGTGCAATGCTGCTTACCCTTCTTTGGGAACCACATCTCTTCTCTCATTGGTACTGGGTCATTTTCAAAGTATTTGGGTCTCACGCAGTCTTACGTAGTAACGCGTTACTAGTAATGCGTTACTGTAACCTCGTAACTTTTTGGTAACTTATAACTGTAACGAGTTACTTTTTAAAAATGTGTCTTGTAACTGTAGTTCTATTACTTTTTCTGAGGTAACGATGAAAGTAACGACGTTACTTTTGTCGTTACTTTCCAGTTTTCTATAAATAATATATCATTGAACGAGTACAATCTAGCTATTTCTTGCACTTTCCAAATTGCCTGTTTTGACATTGCTTGTGTCTAATTGGCCTTGAACAAATTTGTGAACATGTTCTTCCTCTCGAGTCATGACCCGAATATAGCCACGTGTAGATGTGATAAAAAAAAAAAACACATCTAGTTATGTTTTGCACGTGTTTGTACTTTGTGGCAGAACACTTACATCTTAGTACAGTATAGACCACTTAAAACGTAACCGCTTATAGTGCGGGACCGGGTATAACGCGGTTTTTTTAAACCACCGGTTCGTCTCCCATAGAACTCCATGTAATTACATACCGCTTAAAATGCAGGCGCGCGAAAGGAAATACCGGTTATAGTGCGGTTTCTGGCACAGCCCGCCGGCCACGCCGACGACCGGAGCAGCGAGCGCGCTTCCCTGTGTGACACTAGATAACGGCGCTGACGGCGCGAGCATCAAGCGGCACTCGCATGGCAGTTGCGCCAGAGCCGAGTTGCTCGAAGAAGCGAAAGGCTTCAGTTGCCATAGCGACGGAGGGACGCACGCACGTGTCGTTCACGAGCGTGCGTCCCTCCGCTGCGTTGGAAACAAACAACCGCAGCGACAGACCAATCGCAGGTCGAGGAGAAGTGTTCGCACGCGTTGCATGCCGGTCGCGGGCACCCAGTGCGTACACACTATTGGCTCTCTCCTTTCCCCCCCCCAACCTCTATTACAACGCTTCTCCTCCTCCTCCGGTCCCCGCAGGGGGCACCTGTGAAAGCAGGTGTTTGGAGAGTGGCGTCTCCACGGACCCCGAGCTCCGCAGGGGGCGCCTACACCTTAGGTGCTAGGTGCTTGGTGAGTAGCGTCACCACGGACCCCAGCCACTTTGACAACACCACAGACCCTGAGTAAAAGTGGCTAAGACCCACCCACGTCTGGCTGTGCGTGGCGAGCCCGTGTCCAGGGAAAAGGGCATCCTGGTGGTTGAGCTGAGCCCGGGGTAGGTTTGGACCCTTCGGGGCCCCCCGGGCGAGGCAACACACCACTTTGGCCCCTGCTTCCTGTAGACAGGTGTCCTGGCTTGGCCCGACCAGGATGATTCAGTCAGTCGCCACATCTTCTACTGTCCCCTCTTATCTTTCTCTTTTCTCTGCTCTTCTTTTATTCCTTTTCACCTTTGGCGGCAAGGGCTAACCTTGGGTGGCGATAGACCCCTTGTCCGGATCCACACTAGGTTATAGTGCCTGGGCAGCACTGGTAGTGTAATGTTGTCAGCAAAGCCATATTTGTTATGGCACATTGCCTACCCCCGTGTTGGGCTCCGTGGTGGGTGGTGCACCCGGGGCACCGAAATTCTCTCCCATCTCTATGGGTACTAAACAAAAAACCTTTCTTGATCGGCCCCCCAAAAGGGGCCGCACCGAAGTACATGCGATTAATACTACTAGGTCTGCAGAAAAATTTCCAAGATTCCTTGTGATGCACTCTGAGAGTGAGAAACTTTTGGCGAAACTGTCACCATTCCTTGTTTCCAAAACACTTGAGTCCATTGTTGGAAAGAACTTCTCTGCCAAAAAAATGACATCCGGAGATCTGCTCGTTGAGATTAAAACCAGTGAACAGAGCACAGCACTCCTATCACTAAATTCAGTTTCTGACTATAAAGTGACAGTCACTCCCCACCGTACATTGAACACAGTAAAAGGTGTGATTTCTGAAGAGGACCTCCTCGAAAGTACAGAAGATGAACTCGTAGATGGCCTCAGTGACCAAGGAGTTGTCGCTGCAAAGCGAATCTCCCTTCGTCGAGAGGGGCAAGAGATCAAAACAAAACATGTCATTTTGACTTTCGAGTTGAGCAAAGTTCCCGAGTCAATCAAGGCTGGGTACTTGAACTGTAGAGTACGGCCATATGTGCCGAACCCCAGGAGATGTTTCCATTGCCAGAGGTTCGGCCTTAGTGCCCAGAGCTGCAGGGGCAAGACCACGTGCGCCAAGTGCGGTCAGAACGATCACCCGTCAGACAACTGCTCAAACCCACCACACTGCGTCAACTGCGGCGAACCACACGCGGCTTACTCCCGTTCTTGTAAAAAATGGAAAGAAGAAAAGGAAGTAATTACTCTCAAAGTAAAAGAAAACATCTCGTTTCCTGAGGCCAGGAAGCGACTTTCTTTTCTACAGAAAGGATCCTTCGCTACGGTAACACGCACAGGGGGCGTGTCACCGAAAACCTCGGTGGGAACCCAGGTCTGTCCCAAAGACCTGGCAGCCCCACCGACACCCCCTGCCCCCCCAAGGTCGGCTCCACGACCACGTTTGTCGTTAGAGCCAAAAGGTTCACAGTGCCTGAATGGTGCTGCCGCGCCTCTCTTAAAGGAGGCAATGGACACCATGGCACCAAAGGAGGTATCCCCTCCAAAGGCATCAGGGGTGGTGCCTCTCGCACCACCCTCAGTCCTTAAAGAGGGTCCGTCGCAGACCACCTCCTCTAAGGAGCTGGAGCGGACACCCTCGTCGTCTGCTCGCTCTTCAGGCCGAGGCAGGGCTTTGCCCACTCCCGCCTCGACCAGCTCTCGAAAGCCTGGCCAGCTGGACGAGGCATACTCGACCGCAAGCCAGCAGTCACTAGATGAAATGATGGATGAGAGCATGCCACCCTCTGACGACGACCTGGTCCCTTCAGGTGCTGAGTCATCAGTACCTTTTCAGGTCGTAGAAAAGAAAAAGAAAAATAAACTCCCTAGAATTTTGCCCCCAAAGGGATCGTAGTCCCTTTAGAAATGAATCATAAGCAAGTGTCCACTTAGTTATCTTGCGGTGTCCTAAAGGCCAGTTATAATTTTAATTTTAATTTCCAGTTTTAATTTTAACCATGTCTCTGTTTTTACAGTGGAACTGTCGTGGGCTTTTTTGTAATTATGATGATGTCACTTTTTTATTAGACGAACACCGCCCTGCTGCCTTCTGTCTGCAGGAGACGCATCTTAAAGAAACTAGGTCAAATGTACTCCGCCATTATCAAGTGTTTAGACAAGATAGGTTGCACTCCTCTGTGGCGTCTGGTGGTGTTGCTGTAGTTGCCCAGCGCACAACCCCATCTGCCGAGGTGGCTCTCTACACCACTCTCGAGGCTGTGGCTGCCCGAATACTGCTAGACCGGGTGATTGCTGTTTGTTCAGTGTACATATCACTGGGATACCAGCTGCAGTACGAAGAGCTAGAGGATCTTGTTAGTGAGCTCCCGGCTCCATACTTAATTTTAGGCGATTTTAATGCACACAACCCATTGTGGGGGAGTGGTAAACGGGATGCTAGAGGAGCACTTGTTGAACGTTTTCTTCTTTCCACGGGACTGTGCTTACTTAACACTAAAGAAGCCACACATTTTAGTTCAGCGACCAGGACTTTTACTTCCATCGACCTTTCTATCTGCCATCCTTCACTATACTCGCTGTTTTCATGGAGGGTCATCCCAAACCCATATGGAAGTGACCATTTTCCAATTATTTTAGAGTTCAACAGTCCTCCTGCTGGTCTTCAAACGCGTACCCCTCATTGGAAGTTTGAGAGGGCTGACTGGGCAACTTTTAGCAGCTCTTCAGTTTTAGCTTGTTCATCACTTGATGATCTTTCCATCGATGATGTCACTCTGCATATCACTCGACACATATTACAGGCCGCAATCATCGCCATTCCCATGACGTCCTCGCATCTCCCAAAAAGGCCGAAGGCATGGTGGAATAAAGACTGCCGCCAGGCAAAAAAGGAACAGAATCGTGCATGGGGTATCTTTAGGCGTTACCCTACTCCAAGTAATCTGATTGGCTTTAAAAGAAAAAGGGCCCAGGCAAGGTTTATTCGAAGACAAGCCAAGCGGCAAAGCTTTAGAGGATATGCCTCTTCAATCAATAGCAGTGCATCTATAAAGGAAGTTTGGGACCGCGTGCATAAAATTGAGGGTTCCTACGGCGCTTTCTCTGTCCCACTCTTGTGCCGGAATGGAATATGTCCTGCAAGCCTTGACGAACAGGCTGACATTCTTGGTGAGCACTTCGAATTTGTTTCTAGTTCCGAACACTATACGCAATCATTTATGCGGCATAAGCTACATGCAGAAAAAAAGATTGTGCCTACGACCGTTGGTTTGCAAGAGCCTTATAACTCTCTTTTCATGCTGCACGAACTGCAGATGGCTCTCGATTCGTCCGGACAGACTGCCCCTGGACCGGACGGTATCCACTATCAAATGATTCAGCACCTTCATCCATCTACTCTAGAGCTCATCTTGTATCTTTTCAACCGAGTTTGGGTCGAGGGTCTTTTCCCATTGTCCTGGAAGGCTGCTGTCATTATCCCCCTTTTAAAGCCAGGAAAAGATCCTGCCTGTGCCTCCAGCTTCAGGCCTATAGCACTAACTAGCTGTCTTTCGAAGACATTAGAGAGGATGATCAACAGAAGGCTGATGTTTTGAGAGTAATAATCTTCTTGACAGGCACCAATGTGGCTTTCGTTCAGGACGATCCACGGTCGACCACCTAGTTCGCTTTGAGACTGTTGTGCGAGAGGCATTTGTAAATAAGCAGCATTGTGTCTCTGTCTTTTTTGACCTGGAAAAGGCATTTGATACAACCTGGCGCCATGGCATACTGCAGGATCTGTTCAGCTTAGGTGTACAGGGCCGAATGTTAAGTGGCATTCAGAGTTATCTCCAAAACCGGACTTTTCGCGTGAAGCTTGGGACAACTTTTTCTAGAGAATTTTCGCAGCAAAATGGAGTACCTCAAGGTGGTGTACTTAGCGTCACTCTTTTTATTGTGAAGATGAACTCAATTGTCCGCGCAATAGCTCCATCTGTTCAGTACTCACTGTACGTCGATGATCTGCAGATTTCTGTATCGTCTTGTAATCCATCCATATGTGAACGTCGGCTCCAGCTCACAATCAACAACTTGGTCAAATGGGCCGATGTCAACGGTTTTAAATTTTCTCCTGAGAAGACCGTCTGTGTGAGTTTCTCACGTCGCCGCGGAGTTTTGCACGAACCTTCTTTGACTATGTATGATGTTCCTATCCCAGTGAAAACTGAACACAAGTTTTTAGGTCTTATATTTGATTCCAAATTGACTTTCGTTCCACATGTCAAGAGCCTGAAGATGAAATGTTTTAAATCGCTTAATATACTTAAAGTCCTGTCGCATGTGTCCTGGGGTGCTGACCGTCTTTGTCTCTTGCGTATCTATCGGTCGGTCGTTCGATCCCAACTTGATTACGGTTGTATTGTGTATGGTTCTGCCCGGACATCGGTTCTCAAAATGCTGGACCCTGTTCATCATCAGGGGTTGCGGCTTGCTACCGGTGCTTTTCGCACATCTCCTGTTCTCAGTCTATACGCAGAAGCAAACGAGCTCCCTCTAGAGAAAAGAAGATCTGAACTAGGCTTCACATATTTTATGCGAATTAGATCGGTTCCTAACCATCCAACCTTACACTGTATGGAACGAATACGCTACGAGCGAACCTTCAGTAACAAGCCTTCAGTTGTTCCACCTCTTGCCATGAGGGTTTGCAATTCTGCGGAGTCTGTAGGACTGGACGTGTTGCCTCCAATTGTACAGTGCTTGAGTTCGGCAGCCCCTTGGGACTTAGTTCCTATTCAGTGCGAACTGGAGCTAATGAAATTCAACAAAAAAGACACTCCTCGCGAAGTCCTGAGACAAGAATTCCTTGAACTCCAAGCACAGTATCACGACTTTATAAGTTTTTACACTGATGGTAGTAAAACTGATTCCTCTGTGGGCTGCGCAGTCATCGGGCCTGGGATGCAGCTTGTCCGGAGAATAAATGACAGTGCCTGTAGTTTTACGGCAGAGCTCTATGGCTTACTCCTTGCCACAGATAAGATCCTCAAACAAAAGCCTCACAAGTCAATTGTTTACACCGACTCACTTAGTGCTTTACGAGCTCTTGCCAGAGTGGGAAATGATCGCAATCCACTTGTAATAGAAATAAGGAACAGGCTAATTTCAGCCGCAAAACGGAAGAAGAAAATAATACTATGCTGGGTTCCTTCACATGTCGGAATTGCCGGAAATGAGGATGCTGACAGAGCAGCAAGTACTGCTAAGGATCGAGAAGTCGACCTGTGGAAAATACCTTACAGAGACTATAGGCATGTTCTGAAATTTTCCGTAAGACGCAAGTGGCAAGGGGAATGGGACTGAGAAATAAACAATAAGTTGTGCGCAGTAAAACCACTACCGTATTTACCCGAAAATAGGTCGACCACGAAAATAGGTCGACCCTTATTTATTGAGCCCACCGAGAATAAAAAAAAAAATAATTCAAATATAGGTCGACCTTTCTTCTTTTTTTTTTTTTTAAGGAACAGGGGAAAGTTAGGGCAAAAGAAACAAACCTTTATTTACAGCACTCTCAGCTAAATCACAGGGCGATGTCAAAAACTTATTCATCGTCAGAACTTCCGGACATATCATCGTCCGAAGCTTCGTCAGCTGTGTAGACATCCTCGCAAATTGGCAGCAATACCTCACTGACACCGTTGTAAAATGACGACAAGAAGAAACGAAAGAATGTGGAGACGGGCGAGCAACGAAAGACCAAATACAAAGACATGAGCAACGCTGCGAGCCCCGTGAGCAACACGCGACCCGCCGAAAAAAACAAACTAAAGTACCTCCGGTTTTCTTTTTTTTTTTTGTGTGTGTGTGCGTGTTTGCGAGGGAGAGAGGAATGGAGCGCATAGGAGGGCAAAGTGCATGGCGCATCGCGTTCCTCTCCCTCCCCTTCCCCCTAGCCCAGCGAGGGGAACGCTACAGGCGTGATGGCGAAACCCGACGCCGAGGGAATGTGCGCGAGAGCCGTAGCCGGCGGACACGGGCTTGTCGGCTGCTGCTGTTCGGTTGTTTTTGTGCATCAAAAGCTTTTTGAAACAAGAAGCCGCGCGGCTCTACCGCGACGTTTTTTGAAACAAGAAGCCGCGCGGCTCTACCGCTCTACCGCGCGGCTCTACCGCGACGAAATTTTTTGGTCACGATTATAGGTCGACCCTTAATTTTTGACAACATTTCCGAAAAAAAAAGGTCGACCTATATTCGAATAAATACGGTACTTCAGGAATGGGAGAGTGCACGACACCGCGAGCGTTTTTATGAGGTGGTTTTGTGCCGACTGCGAATTGGTCATACCCGTCTTACCCATGGGCATCTTTTGCGTGGGGAGGATGCTCCGGAGTGTGAACACTGCTGCATTCCGTTAAGCATCCTACATATCTTACTTGTATGCCCTTTGAATGACCAAGAACGCCACAGACACTTTGCTAAGGTTTACCAAGAGCATACACCATTACATCTCGCCCTTTTACTCAGCGATGAGCTGTTGATTCCACACAAGTGTGTTTTCAACTTTCTTAAGGATATAAGACTCTTGGACCAGCTATAATTTTAATAGTTCATCGTATTCATTGCCACATCTTATGCGCTCATACTTTCATGATCATTGTTTTATTAAATTACAAGCTACTATAGCTCTTTCTTCTCTTCAACCTTGATTCAGCAATAGTCCTAGTTGTTGGCGCATTATAGCCTTGGTCGCTGCTGCGCCATTAAACCCCAATCAATCAATCAATCAATCCTCCTCCGGTCGCGGGCCGACTGCTTCTATCCGCAAACACGGCGTCGGTTGTGATTGCCGTCCATTCATCTCATCGTTCCGCGTAAAAGCGCTATCCTTGACTGTAAATTTTCGTTGTGTGTCGCTATGATAACCCAGCACGTACTAGAAGGAAAGATCCACCTACTCGTGCGGCGATGTTGTGGCGGCGCTCTCAAGACGGCAGAAACAACCGTGTCGTCGTGTTTGCTTACTTCGACTACAGTGGTGATTTCTAAGCATTTGTGTCCTCGAACATCGCCCGGGCTTCTTATTTGGAGCATTTCATGCGTGTGCTAAAGTTCAAGGTATTACTGGCGCATACCTTATGAAGGATGCGAATTTTTACGCGTTTTCGTCTCCGGAAAAAAGTGATTAGGGTTAGCAATCCTGAACGCTCGCAACGTCCGTCCGCAACCCGCGACGCCGTTAAAAGGCTGCGCCAGGCAAAAGCCGCTCATTTCTTTCAAAATGTGTAACACACTTGAAACAGAACTATACTAGTCTGGTGAAATAAAGACTTTCCTCAAACTAAACTTTATTTTTCATCTAACATAAAATAAATTTTTACAAGTGTAAGTTGTCTCATGGCATGTATTTAGGCCTGAAAAATTGATGTTTTGGTTATAGCGCGGTACCGCTTATAGTGCAGATTTTCGCGACTCCCGCGACATACGTTATATGCGGTCTACACTGTATATCTTAAAGCCCCATCTTTGTTGCGGTTGTTCTTTTTTCTGTGCAAAGGCTTTTTAACCGGGTGAATCAACCGTGAGACAACAATACACACCGGGGGCACTGCGAATGTTTCGTATTTTGATTAGCACCACTATTTCGCACTGCACATGTTTCGTATTCCGATTTGCGCTACTACTCCGGCGTGGTGCAACAGTCAAGGCAAACTTTACCGCTGTTTGCGCGGGGTTTGCTTGTTGCTCCGGTTGCGCGGGGCCTGTTCAGCAAGGGCAGGGACGACGTTGCCATCAAACGAGGGAAACTTTCAGCCACTATTTCTAAAAAGCAACTGCTGCTAAGTTTCAATATAAACTAAAAAGCATATTTTTTTAATTTTATGCAATAAAACTTTGTGAGGGGAGTTTTCTAATGTTTCATAAATTTTTAGCGTTATAGGAAAGTAACTGAGAAATAACGTTGTTACTTTTAAAGGTAACTGTGACCAGTTACTTTTTTGTTGCGGTAACTGTAATGGTAATTTCGCTACTTTTTTACTTAAAGTAACTGTAACGAATTACTTTTTAAAAGCAACTTACCCAAGACTGGTCTCACGCACGTTCCTCGGGGGTTGCGGAATCCTGTGCCAATTTTCTTCCACTTAAGCCCTAATAAATGCAGCTTTTCTTCCCATTCGACACCCAAAATCTGTGTGGAAAAACACAGAATCTGTGGGAAACAACACACCCCTTAAACCCCCCCCCCCCCCCTCCCCCTTTGAATTTCGATGTATTGCAGACCACATGCCGTTCCTCCTGAAGGACAAGGCTGCGGAGAAGACCATGAAGTTCAACCTGGAGGCAACCCTCGGGCGTGCCGCCTCCGAGGGTGGCATCCTCAACGGCTGGGGCCTTCACGCCACGCCCGGCGTCCTGCCGCCCCCCCAAGACATGAAAGGTGCCTCTCTACAAAACCTTAACATTGTGGTATCTGGAACACATCTTCGACCAGTGCAATTACCGTCCTATCCCGGCCACGTGTCGATAAAGTGGTCCTGAAATGGCAACGGATGTGGTTACGGGAGCTGGTGTGTCGTGCCGTCGGGTGTCGCGTTCACTGCCGCACGACTGTTAGGATCGCGGCATGACTCTTGCATGACGTCATCGGGTGGAAATCGAGGGTCCACATTTGAGGACACGGTAACCGCACCAGTCGGAGGCGCACTCCAGCCACCAGAGTTGCATTAAATTAAGATCTAAGGCGACACTGGTAGAGACAGCCCAAAGAAGTGCCAGGCATGGCTTATTATCTTCATGCTTTGTGATTCATTCTTTGGCGTTTTTCTTGGCTAAAGCTGCAATCTCGCTTGCTGTGGAACGGGAGTAAGGTGCTTTAGGCTTGCCTAACTCTGCATTTCTGGGGCTGTTCGACTGTAGGGCATGTTACGTGTGACAGGGAACCAATCGCTCACTGTTTCACCAACAGTCTTAATCTGCTTTACCCACCCAGGGTGGTGGTCATGTTTGAGGACATCCGAAATATCACCTGCTGGTGTTTCCCATTTTCTCTGCTTTCTTTCTTGCCCAAAAGCAACGTTTGGTTGCAGACGGTGAATGAGGAAGAAAGTGTAGGGGGCGTTGTGGCATGGGGTGGGGCTACTGGCTGACTTGGGTTGGGTTTGGGACTCGGCATGCTGGATCTAGCCACTTGGCATCTGTTCTGTCATGGTTGCCCGGTGACGAGATGGAAAAGTGGCACATTGCGTTTTGTTCCACTCCCCTTTGAATCCGTGGGTGGAGAGGGAGTGCAGAGGATTGTGTGAAAAATAGTGTAAATACAGTGCTAAAGATGTAGTAAAAATGGTGCTGAACCACAGCTTTAGGCATCTGCTTGATTAAACTGACCTCATGTTTAAAGTGAGAAAGATATGCAAGCTGTTTGGAAACTTTAGTGTTGCTAAGCAAGCACTTCTCTTTTTTTGCAGAGATTGTGTCCTGTGCAGGTGGAAAGGTAAGCATTATGAACAGCTGCATATGACATATTTGCACATCTCATTATGAATTTATTATAAACGCATTAGCTTGTCTAATCTCATTAGAATCAAATCACTTTATTTGTTTACCAGGTTTTAAAACTTGTATTTGGAGCAATTTTATTTCAGTTCAGTTCCTTTTGTTAATGTTTGCCTTGCATTCTATCATTTTAACCTCTCCCACTTGCTGCAAGTCTCTTATTAAACCTTTCTTCACTGGAACACGCTTTGTCTGGACATGTGAAAAAGGACATCACAATACCAGGTTTCTCTTCATCAAACAACAATTCTAGCCTTGTTCACTTTTGCGGTGTATAGGTTGGTCATACTAGATTCGATAATCCGTCCTTTAGGCGTCAATTTTATTTACAAGCGTATTGTATGCCACAGGATGCAACTAGAGCCATTAAATGAGCTACGCTCGAGAGTAGCGACGCTTTAGCTTCTTGGTACACAATCATTGTTTCCAGTTAAGGCTCGTTCACACACTTGTAGCAGAGAATGACCGAGAGAGACAAGACCGGTTTGTAATCTTCTTGCGACAGCTTAGGACCGAATGCGATGCTGCGGAGCTGGTCTTAAGACGTCATAAGAGGCTTTAAAACCGGTCTTGTCTCTCTCCGTCCTACTCGGTTGCAAGTGTGTGAACGGCGCTTTATCCGAAACATGATCTGAAATCGCATGCAACTTTAACTTGATTCGTCCTCTAGCAACGTTAAAACCCTCCAGAACATATAAGGTTTAAAAACCCCTGTATGTTGCAGGGTTTCAAAATACACGGGGTTTGAAAATCCTTGCCTGGGCTTTCTGTGTGATTTCGGATATGTGATTTTTAGAGTTTTCTGATTTCGGATAGGCGTGTATCGAAATCAGAAAACTCGAGAAATCACATTTTTTTTATCGTGGCTCCCGCCAATTGTGCCTGCTCTCCACTAGGCACCAAAATGGCGGCACCCACAAGAGAATCGGGCTATTGAGTACCGGTAGTCATAGCTCATTTAATGGCCCTAGGCACGACAATGCAGTTTCAAATAGAGGGGTGCCTTTGAACCTGCATCGAAGCCAGCTTGGAACGTCTGTAACCACTCTAAAGCGTCTTTAAAAATTTTTTTTTAGTACCTGGCAAAGATGCCGACACGGTACGCTGACAAGATCGTCATCGTGTCGTGCGAGGAGGACAGACGGACGCTCGCCCAAGCCAAGAAAAGCAGCATCCCAGTTGTGACGGCAGAGTTTGTGCTTTCCGGACTGCTTCGGTACCAGCTCGACGTAAAGAAGCACACCCTGACGTAGCGACGCAATTCAATGGGGGCTGTTGCGAGAGCCTGAACCCGTAGTAAAATTTTTAGCATTTTATTGTTTGACGAGAATGTGCATGTATATTGTTTCCTCTTTTATCAGCCCTGACCTGGGGACATGATTCGAAAGACGATATGCGAGGAGCTGCTCTCGCACGAGCCAGACCTCATAGGAATATTTTTAACATTGTTTATTGATGTAAATGTATGTATATTTTAACAGTACAGGATTTTTTCAGTGGGTCCAGAATAAGAACATAAGAAATGGCCTCTTTAGCCCTGGGACAAAGCAGGGGGCCATGGGGGCCACTAGTAAAAAAATAGGTGAAATGGGTCAGTTAATTGGCTAATTAAGCAAAAAGTTTTATTGAAAGTATGTGTTCTTTTGATTGCATAATGTAGTCGGGGAATCGATGCCGAGCATCATTATGTTGTAGCCATGATGTTAAATGTTCAGTTCCTCAACTAGTACATTACGCCCCAAAAAATAGATGTGAAAAAGCTTATGAAAACTAGTGATTTAGCTTAAACCCATTTCACCTCCTTTCTACAGGCCTCTGTGGCCCCATCTTGGCTCCAGAACTAAAAGAACCATAAAGCCAGGGTCGCACTGCCTGTACATTATACAAAAAACAGTATGCATACAGATTCGAACGCGAGTCGCTGCAAGATCCATGCTTCGAATGCCGCATGGCAATGACTTCAAGGAGAAACTTGGCACGCGGCATTCCAACCACGGATATTGCAGTGACTTGCGTTTGCTGACTGTCTTTTGTATAACGTACGAGCATTGTGGCCCTGGCTTAATGCAGTACCCCTCTCTGAAAATTCTTGACCCACTAAAAGAAGCATTCCGCATGGTTAAGCCTGCATTTTGTTTTGTTCAATCCGGTCTTGCATTGAGATGGTTCGCTCCAGTGGACCGATCGACTCGAGTGGGCGGTTAGGACGGAAGACTGGCAAAATGGTCCTGATGAGTTTTTAGTAGCCATCTGAAACGAGAAATAAACGGTGAATTAAACACTGTTGTACTGCATCCCGAATTGCCCTGCCACGCGTCATCTCTACACTTCAAGGATTTGTATTTTATAGTATTGTTTTTAGCCGTTTATAAGCTTGCTGCATCACTGTTCTGTGGAGTTTTACATTTCATTCTCACCAATTCGCTGCAAATAAACATACTGCATGAAATCACCAGCTGCTTTGCCTGTTGAATGCCTGCAACAGTGCTTGCACGAATGGCCATTCAGGTGATTGCAATACGAATCGATTATGCATTTTCATGCACCTGTAATTTCTGTGTGCCAGGTGTGGTGGCTTTGGACCTCGAGAAACTGGTGGTTTTCTTTTGAGCTTGCGAGCAATATTTCTGGTCCTCGGAGAGAGAGATATCTGTAAGCAATTATGTTACTGCTCAAATAAAGTTGAGTCAAGTTTTTTGGACCTGCATGAACTTGTGGGTTCGATTGAAATTAGAAATAACACTTGCACTTAATTCCTACAATAAGCGTCAGTTTCGGTACAGTGTGCAGCAGGGGTTTCCTCAGGAATTGAAATTGGGGTGGGGGGCGTCTAAATTTTGAGTTTATGGAAGCAATAAAACATTAGCAAGTTAAGACAATTAATGGACATGTTTCTAATTCACTAATGAAAAATGAGATGCGAGAACCGATGTGCTTCCTGCACCGTTCTGCTGTGTATGATCGGAATTTGGGCGATTTATTCTGACCTTGTCTAAAGAGTAATGTATCACTGAAGCCAATCTAGGGAATAAAATGCGATTTAAGTCTGACCAGTTCTACGATTTAAAGCAAACATTTCCCGCCCGAATAATTCTGAAAAGGTTTTATTTACCATTTGTTGCTTTTGGGGACACTTGTTTTGTATATAAGTCAAATTATAACTATTCCGCAACAACTTGGCATTTCCGGGGAGAGAAGGAAAGCCCGCGCACAGCTTTAACCAGCGCTCCACTGCATTGCCAAGAGAAGTCGTGGAGCACGATCGAAAGCGTCGCTGTGGTCGGACTTCCAGGAGTGTCTGAATGCTGACTATGACGTCAGCAAAGGTTTTCTCATCGACAGAAATAAGGAGAATGTAAGAGCTGTAATTTTGAGAGTATTGGCAGTGTTGCTTTGAGGGCGCAATGATTTCAAGCTTCCACCATGCTCATTCCAAACACCATTGAACTTGCTGTCCGCAAGGTAATGACGTCACGAGAGGGAACCATAGTAGGGCGCCGCCAAAACATCTCGCCGCTAATAGGTTGGAAACACTTGTAACAGGCTGAAGACCAGCAAAAAGCATTGTTTTGAGCAAATCGAAGCATTGAGCTTTTTAATGCGAAAGCATTAACTGGGGGTGTCGTGGAGCGAGCCGCGCCAAACGGCACCTTAAACCCATTTTCCAAGTGAAGCCAGCTCCCAGCTATGAAACCTCACGAAAAGCTAGCCAACGGCACCTAAACTCCCCGATCCCAAAGGAGTGGAGTAAAGCTGACGGATTTTCGGCTTCGGTCTTATTGGCTGGCGCTCGTCAGCGAGGCTGCCACTGGCTGCTGCGTGTCAGTTGCAACAACCGCTCACCCCATGGCACAGCGTGTCCGTCGGCGCACCGTTAAAGGGGGACCAGCGGAATTATTCTTCCGCTTGGCGGAAAGTCCTCCTCGCCCTCTTTCTTTCTTGTACTGTAGCACGGCGAGGCGAGGAAAAAGGTCCCCTTTTGCGCCGGCTTCTTCTGAGAAGATGAGCCGAGAAAATCCCCTTTTTGAGCGACGGGCGATGGGTGCGGCAGTAGCGACCTCGTGACTTACAGGTATCTTCAGCTCCTATCGCGTAATCTGCCCTATTTTTTGGTGCTCGTCAAGCCTAGCCCCTTGGGTGTAGGTTTTACGGAGCTGCAAGGCTGCGCCCTCGAAGTGCTTTGGTAAGCCCGTGGCAAAGTAAACGCATACTTGGAAGCTGCGATGCATCCCCGCACCCATTGAAGGAACGTTTCACAGATATTCTCGGTTGATCAAGGAGCTCAAACATCATGCGCGAGATGTGGTGACTTGAATATGTAAGGATGACTTGCATCTCCACAAAACATTCCATCTTAAAAAAAAAAAAAAAAAAAAACCGGCTTATCACGCTAACAAATGCCTCAAATTGGGATCGATGGAAAAGAAAACGATGTACCAGGCGCGGGCATCTTGTAGAAGGTCTGTTTTCTAGCAGCGAGCACAAACTATTGTGTGCGTAACTCACACTATATGATGGCTAATGAATGACATTTATATTTACGCATCCCAACAACCACACAAGGTGAGAAGGCAGCAGTGGTGTGTGTCGATACTAAAAAGTTTTAGTGGATCGTCTTTAGCTTTTGGATAACCGTACCCTACAACAATATATAAGCTATAACCTTTCTATGAGCATTTTTTATCGAGTGCGGCTATTGAAGCGTGTCATGTTATAGTTCAACGTTGCTTAAATCGGTGCTATAGCACATGCTGCCTCTTTAAAGTATTTTTAAAGCATTAAAAATAAAAAAGAATAAAGGAAATGTTGCCGATTTTTTTTACATGAAACGCATTTGTAAATTGTCATTGCAAACATATTTTAGGTATACTGCCACACAGTCGGACAAACTATCGCCGGTCTTTCTCATTTTGTTTTCTTAGAAGTGAATGATGTTTAGAAAACTGTTATGCAACTATCCAACCTAAGTGGCAGAGCTCAGTGCTAGATAATACATGTTGCTAGCAGAAATAGTAAAAAGCGCCGATGTCGCGTTCGGGCTAACAGTGCCACGTAATGCACGCGTACCGCTACAAGATCAGCGCAAGCATAATATGGCAATGAATTTATTACACAATTTGTTTTAATAAATGAAAGGTTTCAAGAAATCGTCGCAGCACCTTGATTATCACAGCTAACAACGAGTCACACTTATTAACGACTTTGGCTTGCTTTATCAAGTCGTCAAAAGCAGTCATCTCTGTGGTTTCAGAAAAAGTGAGGTTCAGGCTTAGGCTCCAGCTCGAAAACTTTCAGGCCTCGGAACATCTTCGGCACGAGTTCTCTTCAAGTTTTGCGGCAATAAAAATAAAAAAAAAAAAATAAAATGAACAATTTGGTTGAGACACGCGTGTAAAAAAAAAACATTTTATGCGAAAAAAAAATTGATAAATATTGATGGCGAGAGATTTAGTTGAAATTCTGCGCGCAAAGTCCACGACGTCACGGAATCGTCATTCGCTCAATGAGATGGTGATTCGCTCTCTCCACTTCAACGTGAAGGTGAAGCCGATCCGCCTCTCCCACGCGTCCCAAATGCCGAGAGAGAAAACAAGTGGAGAGCAGATGACTACCTACTGAATCGCGTCTCGCACCGTCAATATTGCTCTAAAAATGTTTGTTGTCGCGTAAATTTTTTTTTTTTTTGACACGCGTGTTTTAGTTACTGTTTAATTTTTTTTTTTCTTTTCGGTGGCTTTTTAATGTGACACTTCGCGGGTTTCGCGCTGTCGACCGCGCTCCACATCGGCGCGGGCCATTTCCGGCACTCCGCCAAAATATTCCACACTGACGTCACGCAGCGCATCGTCACCTGTTACCTGGCGTCATCTGGCACCATGACGTGACATTGTCATTTGAAGTCACGTTGCACAGTGACGCCACGCGACTTCAGGCGACACCGTGAGTCACGTGATACTGTGACGGCACGTAAAAACAAAAATGAGACTGCTGAGGATTGAAAGAATAAAAACAGCGTAAATTTTCGACTATGCCAGAGAGGTTCTCGGGCGATAAAACCAATAAAGCTAGGTGGGTGTTAAGCCGGCGAAACTACGGGCATGAAATTAGGTGAAGCTGCACGCTTGAAACCTGAATCCGCGATTTTGGAAGTCTTCTTCAGCGACCACAAGGCGGTGTTAGTTCGTGTCCAATAAAATTGCGTAAGACGTTCAGGCAGCCGCACCAATAGGGAACTGTAGTAGACCGTTACCGCAGCCCGCTAAGCACCCGGATAGCGCTCCGTAATCCGCCACAAGACCTTGAACTATGCAGACAAGCCTAGCGGCGCGTATGCGCAGCTGCGACGTTTTCTTCGGGGATACCGTAGCGGAGGAGAAAAACGATCTACTACAACTCCCTAATGACAGGGAACGGTTCATGCGTACACATGCAGTTTCGTCGTTCCCTGGATTTCATACTCGGGTGCGCGATTTTCGAAGTCCACGAGGCCTAGTTTGTGCCCAATAAAATTATTTAACAGGTTCACGAAGTGCTCCCTGCTTAATTCACCCTCATTTGTTCCAAATTGCTATCGAACTTTCGTCTGGCGTGTTAATTGCTTGGGTTAATGCATTACCGTTCATTCAGACCACCTGCCAGGCACGTAGCCAGGATTTTGTTTCGGGAAAAGGGGGGGGGGGGGGGGGGGGGGGCTGGCTGGCTGGCTACGTGCCTGCCAGCTGCTCCGAAATGACATTTTGGAGTCTTTTAACGTTTTGCTGTAATGGCCATATAAAACGATTTCAGTACCCCGGCAGGATTTGAATTCACCACCTTGAGATTGTGAGCCAAGTGCCGTGTTGGCTTTTCAGGTCTTTTCTTATGCCGTATGGTGGAACTTCTTTGCAACCTCCTGCGAGACCGTTGAACTACAGCGGATTCACGACAGTAAAATGCGACCGTTCGACGGTCGCCTTCACGACGGCCGAAGGCACGCGGAATGCGACCCGGATCGGGCCGAAGGCGTTCGTTCGTTCAACGGTCTCGTCCAACGGCCAAAGGCGACCGTTAAACGATTGCCTTCGGCTGCTCTTTTTGCGTCACCGGAGCGAAAGTTACCAACAGCAGCACACACCTCTGATAAATTGCATCTCAAGCGCATATATTATAGCTGTCATTGGAAAAAAATATATTTATGGGAAAAAAGATTGAGGTACACCTAAGCATTTCTTATGAGTTGTGAATGCGAAAGCATGCAAGCCGCTCTTCCGCTCTTTTTTTCGTCTGCTGATCGAGGACTTTTCGTCGCCGGTCAGCGTGCGTGCTCCCCTGGGCACGCTGACCTTGGACGCTCCGTATTAACGGCGCGCTGATGGACACGCAGCGCCATGGGGTGAGCGGTCGTGGAAACTGACGAGCGCAGCGGCCGAGGGAAACCCCGTCGACGCGCGCCAGCCAAAGGAACCGAAGGAAACTAGGTGCCATTTTCGCGCTTCAAACTGATAACGCCAGCCTCGCTCCATGAGACAGTTAATGCTTTCGCATTAAAAATTGTCTGCAGCTTCATTTTGTGTTGACTCTGAACACAGCCCGCACTAAACAGTCCGAGATGAATGCCACTTTTTTTTTTCCTCCGGTAACCAGAACCCTAACTTGTTTTCTTTTCTGATCGCTACCGGGACGTTTTCTACCTATTGGTGCATGTTCCTTAGAGCTTGGCGAACTCCA